GTATATTGTGTATACACTGCTTATATAGTTGCACAGTACAGTACACAGACAGTACACAGTACAGTACACAGTACAGTACACAGTACAGTACACAGTACAGTACACAGTACAGTACACAGTACAGTACACAGTACAGTACACAGTACAGTACACAGTATAGTACAAAGTACAGTACACAGTACAGTACAGTACAGTACACAGTACAGTACACGGTACAGTACACCGTACTGTACACCGCACAGTACGCTGTGCAGTACACCGTGCAGTACACAGCACAGTACACCATATATTACACCGTATATCACACCATACAATATACCATGCAGTACACCGTACAGTACACCGTACAGTACACCGCACAGTACACTTTACATTACACCGTACATTACATCGTACATTACACCGTACAGTACACCGTGCAGTACACCGTACAGTACACTGTACTGTACACCGTACAGTACACTGTACTGTACACCGTACAGTACACCATACTGTAAACCGTACAGTAAACCGTACAATACACCGTACTGTACACCGTACAGTACACTGTGCAGTACACCGTCAAGTACACAGCACAGTACACCGTATATTACACCGTATATTACACCATACAATATACCATGCATTACACCGTACATTACACCGTACAGTACATCGTACATTACACCGTACAGTACACCGTACATTACATCATACAGTACACCGTACAGTATATCTAGTTTAATTTTTTTTCTAGGCTAAGACATATATTTTAGAAATACAATGCGTCTGTTTCATTCTTAAGTTTTAATGGAAAAATTGGCAAAATACTGATCGATTTATTTGTATAATCTACAACTGTTAATCTTGATATCTACTCTGCAGTGTTGTGGAAAACTTCTTTCGGATTCATTTGAGACATATCAAACTTTTTAAAGATCTGTAAATCCTGAGTTTGAGCGCAAATTCGACGTTCAAAACTCCTACTTTGGGGGTGGATACGTTTTCAGAATTAGTTTTTTGAAATTATTAAATAACGACGACATGTAAAAAAAGTTCTACAATGAACTCGATTTATGTGAGATCGTGCACATCTTGATTTTTAGGAAACTATTATGTGGATTATCAAAGATATCAAAATTAACACTGATAACATGGATACTAAATGAACACGGATGCATCTATTCTTGTTTACAAATTCCGCCCACAGAGAACTGGTTTCAATATGTACGCAGAGTATACACAACCGCAATTAACTTTCCTTGCATTAGTACCTTGGATCAGTAGAGTTTTAAGTAATCAGTTCCCTTTATAAGCGTTGCAACTTCATGCCAAAAATTGCAATCTCATAGATTACTAATTTATACAGTTTACACTTTTATTCAACCTTACGCTAAACAGAATAGCGCAAAATCGATATAGCGCAATTTTGCGCAAAATGAAGTTTGCGAATGGTTGGGCAAAGATCTATTTTTTTGTGCAAAAACAGAAAACAACAAAAGCAAAAATTTGCGCTTTCTTTCGCAAAAATTTGAGTGGTTAATTTTGATGTTTTCAAAATTTCAAATCTTTTAAAATAAGTTGTTTTACCTAAAAATGTAATTTAGATCGTAAATAAAAAAACAGTCATAACTTTTATGGTTTTCAAAATCTACATGCTTTAGAAATATTAACATTTTATTCATATATTTATATACTATTTCTAACTATACAAATTTTTTTTGATTACAAGTTAACAAAATATATTTAACAAATATGTAAAATAAAAACTATTTTTCAATAATTTTTTTTTCCATTCAGATAAATCAAGTTTTTAATCTTCATGGGAGGTAATAATTACAAATGAGAAAAAAACAAGAATAAAACAAGAAAAATTATTTCTTTGATATTTGGAATTTATCAAAATTAACATTTCTGCTATTGTAAAATGAATGGGTTTGCCCACCGATAAAAACTCACTCTCTGCCAATGGCCAAAATCCAAATGCTCACAAAATTATAAATCTTTATTCTTAAAAATATTTTGATAAAGTTATTACAAAGAAAAAATTTCAAAGAACCTGTCAAATCTTTCGTTGGGATGTTTAGAAAGATGAAAATTTCCCTGTATGATATTTGAAGGACTGCAGTTTGGTTTTGGGGAATTATATTGACGTGCTAAGGCTAGGGGTGTCAGAAATGATTTTTTTTTGCATTTTTTGAAAACGTTCAATAAACCTAAAAAAGTTTAATTTTGATAAAACTTTTTGTTCTGGATGATTACAAATATCTATCTAAGACTTTCTTAAACCGGCATATTTTTTCTATATTCATTTAGTTAAGAGTTTGAGTTAAAATAAGTATCAATAAATATTGCTTTATATCGAGTAGATATCCTTATACATCTCGATGTGAAACCTTTCAGAAAGTAAGAAAGATTCTGCAGAAAAAAGTTGCCAAACCAAACAGAATTTCTATTTTGAACAAAAATATTTAGAACTTATATAGAAGCTTTTCTGGGCTGCACTTTACTCTAGTTTTGCATTATTTTCATTTGTGTATAACAGTATAAAAGAGGTTCCGTTGATGGTTTAAAACTAAACAGCTGATGATTCATTGGAGGGAGGAATGGCAAAAACACCAATTTGAAATTCCCAAATATTTTTATGGAAAGTGATGGTAACAGGGAATACAGAGTGCTTCAGGGTACAGGGTACTACAATGTACTGCAAAGTACTGGGCTTTACTGGGGTATACTGGGGGGAAAGGGGGTACATAAACCAAACAGAATTTTTAATTTTTAATAAAAATATATAAGTAGAGTCAGTTAAGCACTTCTAAGGATGTTTTCTTTATAGTTTTGTACTATTTTCATGGACAAAAAAAGCTAGTTTAATACTAATCAGCTGACCACTTAATGGAGGGAGGGATGGCAACAACGCCAATTTGTAATCTCCATATCTGCAGGGTTCTGTTGGGTACTTTGGGGTACTTTGGGGTACTGTCGGGTGCTGTGGGGTGCTCCCTACCTCCATTAAGTGATCAGCTGATTAGTATTAAACTAGCTTTTTTGTCCTGTGAAAATAGTGCAAAACTATAAAGAAAACATCCTTAGAAGTGCTTACTTACATATTTTTTATTAAAAAAAAAAAAAATTCTGTTTGGTTTCTGTACCCCCTCCCCCCAGTAAAGCCCAGTACTTTGCAGTACATTGTAGTACCCTGTACCCTAAAGCACTCTGTATTCCCTGTTACAATCACTTTCCATTAAAAGATTTTCGAATTACAAATTGGTGTTTTTGCCATTCCTCCCTCCAATTAATCATCAGCTGTTTAGTTTTAAACCATCAACAGAATGTCTTTTATACTGTTTTACACAAATAAAAATAACGCAAAACTAGAGTAAAGTGCAACCCAGAAAAGCTTCTTTAAGTTCTAAATATTTTAGTTCAAAATGAAAATTCTGTTTGGTTTGGCAACATTTTTTTGCAGAATCTTTCCTACTTTCTGAAAGGTTTTACATCGGTATGTTTAAGGATATCTACTCGATATAAAGCAATATTTATTAATACTTATTTTGACTCAAACTCTTAACTAAATGAATATAGAAAAAATATGCCGGTTTAAGAAAGTTTTAGATAAATATTTGCAATCATCCAGAACAAAAAGTTTTATCAAAAATTAGACTTTAAAAGTTTTATAGAAGTTGTTAAAACAATGCAAAAAATCATTTCTGACACCCCTAGGCTTTGTACGCCAATATAATTCACCAAAACCATACTGCAGTCCTTCAAATATCATACAGGGAAATTTTCATCTTTCTAAACATCCCAACGAAAGATTTGACAGGTTCTTTGCTTTTATTTCCTCCAAAGCTTTTTTCTCCCAAACACTTCATTTCGAATTTTCTTGATTTATAATTTTATAATTCAGTGATAACTAGAAAACTCTTGAATGTGAAGCAGACTCAAGTTATGACTTTAAATAGTCCAATGTACATGAGGCACAGCAATTGTGCAATGTAAACAGACCCATTTCACTTAATAAGTGATTTCATACCTTTTTTCCTTTATAACGACATGAAATGCACTTCAGATGTGCTTTAATGTTGTTCTCCTATTTTACAGTTTTCTGGTTATCACTGTACAGAGCTTTTCCCCCCAAAAATGCTACTAATTTACATCTGGATTTAGATACTTATAGTCTGGGATGCAATCATGCAATATAGGGTCGTTAACGAGCTATAGGGAATTGAAAATGAGCGGAGGATTTCATTAACGAACTGCAAAAACCGTTAGTTTTTATTATCGTTACCGATCGAAAATAACCGTTCTTGGAAAAAATATTTTTAGATTTTCCAATCGGAATTTTGTGGAGCGGAACTGCGCGAAATTGCGTGGAATTCAGCGGAATTGTGCGGAAATTACAAGGCCCGCAATTGCGCGCAAGTAAAATCTTCCTGGCTATATTGTTGAAATCACTTAAATAACAGTGTTTTCTCGTCCTACATGGACGGTAAGGCTTATTAACGCTACCCCAAAATAACATAATTTTTTAACTTGCTAACATATTAATTAGTAATATGGACGCTGAAAATAACAGAAAAAAACATATTTAAGGGACTGTAAGTGTATTTAAGGGACTGTAAGTGTACTTAAGGGACTGTAAGTGTATTTAAGGGACTGTAAGTGTATTTAATGGACTGTAAGTGTATTTAAGGGACTGTAAGTGTATTTAAGGGACTGTAAGTGTATTTAAGGGACTGTAAGTGTATTTAAGGGACTGTAAGTGTAATTTCAAATAACTCTCCATGCAAAGATAGCAATGACCTATAATTTATAACCCTTACAACCTTAATCTAATTAAAAATGACTCGTAAATTGTTTATTTCCGTGAATTTCTCCATTGCTTCTTATAAACATGAAATGTGCAATTCACTTTTGCAGAGAAACCACAAAGAATATGAACAGTTTAAATTAACAAAAACATGGATATCCAATTCTTACTTGATCAGACAAAACTTTCAAAGTTGTAAAATTGGGCCTTGCCATCTTTGCATGGAGGGTAACTTGAAATTACGCTAACAGTCTCTTTACATTTAAAAAAACTGTAACATTAGGGTTGGAACCCACGGCCGCCATGAGCCTCCCCTTTGCACCATGATCGAGCCTCCCAAACTTGCCAGGCAGTACGAGCCTCCGCTAAACAGTAATTGTTAAAAAATTTTCATTACACATAAAAACCAAGATTTTAAAAAACCTGTGTTGAATAGCAAAGGCTTGTTTATTTCATAGGAAAGGCTCTGTACTCTATGGCAGAGGCTCGTCCTGCGTTGCAAATTTGGGAGGCTCGGTCTGCATAGCGGAGGCTCATGGTGGCGGGGGGTTCCCTCCCTTGCATCGTAACAAGGAAAGGACTCTATTTATTATAATTAAGTTCTAAGTTACTTAGTAGATTACAAAATGGACAAGAGATGTCGCCACAGAAGCATTGAACCGTGGAATCATCAGGAGCATTCAGTATGTTTGGACTAAAAAAAAGAGAAAAAAGTAAATAAAAAAGTTGTTATTCAAACACGAAAATTTCGCAAAAAAATACGGAAATTTTAATTGGCTGGTTCATCATCATGGGTGAACGTATTTGGACGAACAAAAACTTAAAAAGATAAATCAAATTCACTTTATCAAACATTTATTAAAGTAAAGGAAGAGCAATTATAAATATGACATATCTTGAAATATTGAGCTATCAGAGCAGAGAATTCAACAAGTTTTTTTGAGCAATTAATTGTTGCAGCAATTTTTGCTGATTTTTTTCTCGAAGTTTTCGCGAAAATATTTAAACGAAATTTTTGCTTTCTCAGTTTCGCAAAAACAAATCGGGAAATTTTTTTTCGCGAAATTTTAGATGGCATTTGCATTTTTTCGCTTCATTCATTTTCGGAAAAAATGTTAAATTTCGCGAAAAAGTTTGCTAAATGCGAACGAAAATTTTCGCATTTTTCCGCATTTTTTGGAAGACGTTTAGATATAATTTTGACACAGTTATATATCGATTTCTCGAGACAATTTTGAAACGGAAAACTTTTTTCTCAAAACGCCAACTTTTAAACTTTTAAACGAAGTTGCACAGTTGGTTAAAACCCTTTGGGAAAGTACCTAACATCTAACAGCCAATGAAAAAAATCGTTGTTAACTTAAAGATAATGGCTTACCTAATGTTCCTGTCTATATTGTAAGAATCCAGAATGGAATTCATGTTCTCCGAGGAAGAGGATGTTCCAAGGAACGGATCTGAGGAACCTGGACCGGAACTGGGTCGGAGGAACCCGGAAATAGGTTCAAAATGAAACGGTTCTGAGGTACGTCTATCATCGTTCAAACTAAAAATAGATAATGATTTTATCCTAGATGGCTGACAAATTTTTAAATACAAGAATAATGGGTGGGAGGTTAAGTGGTCTTGGGGGTGGTCATGAGTATGAATCTTTAACAAATTGTAAAAAAAATTCTTGTACTAGAATAAGATCTTATATCTGAAGCATCTAAAAAGCATCATTTTTAAAGCTCTCTAATTAAATGCTAAAACAGGTTTTTTCGTGACATTTTATATCAAAATCAGGTTATAACGTCTGTTATATGAAAATCAGGTTAACGTCTGTTATATCTTAGGTTTTTAACAGACTTTTTCTATGCAAACGTTTCTGACTTATGTAATTCAGGACCCATGTTTGCTTTTTAATAAATTTATCAGTTCACCTGGTCGCGCATTTTAGTGCACTTCCCTCGGATCGTCTTCGATTCTTCAAAAAATTCCATTTCTTCTGGTGCTCCTCATTTTCCTCTTCATCATCCCCTAATTTCAGTAAAATATAAATATATCTCTGAATAGAATTCTATATTGCTTTTTGGAACATTCCTCCTGAATAGTTATTTGTTAATTATAAATACTTTCCTTTGTTTTTTAGCATCTCCTCGTCATCCAAGGAAATTTTTTTACGAACTCCTTTTATCTTTATTTTCAGCTCAGATTTGATTTTATCAAAACTTGATTTACGTCCAGCTTTCTTAGGTTTAGATTCATATTCTTTATTAGGTTTCTCTATCTCTGGACCCCGCTCTGCTGCTTGCTCATCTGTCAGCTGTTCAAAACTGGTTTTATTAGATTTCTTCGCGGGCTTTTTATTTGTTGCTTGGTCATCAGTGCGAAGAGTAGAATGCAAGGCAGATCCTTCTTTATCTTGCATTCCATTCTTTACAGATCTGCTTTCTCTGCCTGAAAAAAAATATTTTTGTCAGCCCTATTTTTAATGTTAATTTCTAAGTCAGAATATATCGAAACCCAGAGATACTAGACCTTTAGAATTGTGGATATCAAGATTAATGCTTGATCTCCTCTTTTTATTAATCTTAAAAATAATTTAATCCTATGATAATATCCGGGAAATTGTCAAAAATCCAACCAATCAGAGTGCTGATTGTTGAAACCGAACAGCCAATCAGAAGCCAAGAAATTTCAAAATTTCGGCGCGTAATCAATGAGAGAATTGGTCCGAAAAAGAGAAGATTGAGCAGAAAATCAAAAGTGCATCGACCGTGGATGCAGAGATTTAGCAATCTGGATTAAGTGAATCCAATACAAGAGGCTCAGGGAACAGTGAGTGGTGGGAATTTAAAGATTTAGCTCCTGCAAAAGTTTTTAAAACTTGCAAACCAAAACAGAAAGATCTGCAAAAAATGTATTTACAAATTTTACTAAAAAAAAACTTGATTTCGCTTCACAGCTGAGTCTGTCATCTTGGAAGTTAAATTTTCAAACTTTATTGTACAATTTGTGTAAAGTTGAATAAAACTTTTCCTCCTGCAATTTCCTGCCTTGGAAGTTCAGATCTAAATTACAACAGATGATCTGAATGGCAATCCCATTTATTTTAGTAAACAAACCACAGCCAAGGTAAATAAAGATGCAGACGCGTCTGACAAGTTATCCGCCCCAACGTTAATTGGATCACTAAACACACTGTGGAAATAACCCCGAATTATGCACCTCGAATAATATATTAAAGGGAGTGACTTGCAATGAAGGTATTTGAACTGAGAATGTAGAATTGTGGTGAACTTTTTTAGGATTCATTTGAGACATAGAAAAAGAGTTTTTATGATGTATAATTACTGAATTGGAGGTTGGATTTCAAAGTCGACGTTTAAAATCATTCATTTGTGTGCTTACTTAAGAGAATCGATTTTTTTAAATTATAAATAACGACGAAAAAGTGTAAAAAAATTCTACTGTAAACTTATTAGATGTTTATTGAAGTTTTCTGAATAAATCAATGTTAAAATTAACTATTTCTTTTTCATCATTATATTGAATTTCTTATTCTTTATGAATTTGCTTACAGATTTTTTCAAATTCTTCAAATGACGTCTTTTTAATAAAAATTCAAGGAAATCTTCAAAAAATGTTTGTGAACAATGAGACATTACAGAAACCAATAACTGAATAAAATTACTTATTTTTGATAACAATAGTTAATTTCATTTTCACAACCTGTTCCTAAACAACTATTTGGTTTACTGCAGAATTGTTCTTTCATTTTTCGTCTTAATAATTGAATATTTTTTTTAACCTGATTCTCAACATCTTCCCTCATAAATGAGGATTTTTTTTTTAATTGAATTTGTTCTCTTTCTTAACAATACGCACCGTAAAACGTCTAATAGATCTCACATGATTCCTTAAAAAAATTCTCCACAATACTAAATTCTCAGTTCAACTATCATACATTGCCGGTCACTCCCTTTAACTTGAAATATACAGCTGACTGTTAAGTAACTAATTTGCGGCTAGATAGGCAGGGTGGTCCGCGTCAATGATCCAACTATGACTACCCATGGAATATGAAATAGAAGGGAGATATAACTGACGCGGCCCGCCCTACCATATGATTATGCATGCTTTGCAGACAGTACTCCATTGATTAAGGAATATTTGTCTGGTGTACAATTACCGCGTATACAATAACCTATTCTGAATATTTCTTATACAAATGGAGTATCCGTCTGCAAAGCATGCATAATCGTTTGGTAAGGCGGACCGCGTCAGTTGTATCTTCCTTCTATTTCATACTCCAGCTAGATGGCAGGGTGGTCCGTGTCAATGATCCATCTTTGACTACCTCATATCTGACTGATCTGTGAAACAATCAAATAAAAACATTGCAGAGATTTCTACCAAAAATGTTTTTGTGTTTAGGTTTTAAAAGATTTTGATGCAGCATGAGATTTTCATATTTTTCTTCAATGCAATTTTCAGCTTTCATTGTTTCACTTTTTTCATTCTAATAATTCCTAGACTTTTTTATTATGTTAACATGTAAATTTATCTACTTTAAGATCAAGTTTACTTTAAGATCAAGTTTACTTTAAGATCAAGTTTACTTTAAGATCAAGTTTACTTAAAGATCAAGTTTACTTCAAGATCAAGTTTACTTAAAGATCAAGTTTACTTAAAGATCAAGTTTACTCAAAGATCAAGTTTACTTCAAGATCAAGTTTACTTTAAGATCAAGTTTAATTCAAGATCAAGTTTACTCCCAGATCAAGTTCACTACAAGATTAAGATTACTCCAAGATCAAGTTTACTCACAGATCCGGTTTACTACAAGATTAAGATTACTCCAAGATCAAGTTTAATACAAGATCAAGTTTACTTTAAGATTAGATTTATTCAAAGATCAAGTTTACTCCCAGATCAAGATTTCTCCAATATCAAAATTACTCTAAGATTAATATTACTCCAAGATCAAGTTTAATACAAGATCAAGTTTACTCCCAGATCAAGTTTACTCCCAGATCAAGTTTATTCCCAGATCAAGTTTACTCCCAGATCAAGTTTACTACAAGATCAACTTTACTCCCAGATTATTACTCCCAGATCAAGTTTACTCCCAGATCATTACTTCCAGATCAAGTTTACTCCCAGATCAAGTTTACTCCTAGATCAAGTTTACTTCAAGATCAAGTTTACTCCAAGATTAGGTTTATTCCAAGATCAAGTTTACTCCCAGGTGGATACCTCAAGTAGGACTGGGGATGTAGAAACTTTTCAAGAGGATTTTCCCAAGTCTGCCCTAGCCGCAGCGCTCGGCCCTCTAGCCAATCCTAGCCGCAGCGCTTGGTTCTAGGGTTTTTTTTCATTTCAAGTTCGTTGACAATGCCCTTAACCTTTTTTTTTATCGCCCAGTTCCCAAAATTATGTGTTTTAGGTCGTTAATGGTTAATAATTAAATATTGTTGACAATTAGTGCAGTTGTGTTATTATTAACTTACAGATGGTCGATAGAGATGGTAAACATTTAGAACAGCTTTCCAGTTGGTGCTTACTGTCTTCAATAATAGCATCATAGATTAATTGATAAAAACAGATACAACACTAGATGTCGTTTTTTCAAAATTTTGGGATTTTTCGTTCACAATAACCCTGAGGCAGAAGTACAAAGGAGTTCCGCGCAGGCAGCGTTGAATAACATGACATAGAGAGAGCATGCACTGCTTGCAGGTGGCACTCTAGCGTCCTATCTGTTATTGTAAAATATCTATGAATAATAGGATATGGTTGTTAAAGGTTAATAGAAAAAAATATCATTTCCTAAAACTGAGGCCCAGTCCTATCCTCAAGAGATTTCTTGAAGTAGAGTCAATATTAAATTTTTCCGGAGCCTGTCTTTTCAAACCAACTTGGAAATATTTAAAACTTTTCTTAGAAGCTTTAAGGGGGTCGGGCGGTGGACAAAGACAGAGAAAGAGTCTGTTCTACGCCGACTACACTTAACTCCTTTGGGCTTCTGCGTCAGGATTATTGTGAACGAAACACATAGAAATCTAGAAAAGAGGACATCTAGTGTCCTATTTATTATTTTAATTAGTCTATGATACAAACATACAAATACACAATTAATAATTACAAAATAAATAAATAAGAAAATAAAAGCAAAAACATCCAGAAAACAACGGAATGAACATCATTAATAAAATTGCAGTTTTGAGAAAAGAAAAACCATGTACATTGTTTCTTAACAAGCTTGTACGTGTGTTCAATAACAAGATTATACTCTGAAAAACAATGCTATATATAGAAGAGAAAAACAAAAAAACATGAATGTAAAAAACATAAAGAGAAAAACTGTCTTTGATAATTTTTAAAAACCTTCCAATTCTATACCCCCCCTCCCCCTCCCCCCCCCGCTGTCGAATAAAAGAAGACTTATCCGACTTCTTAAAAAACAAATACCTTTATCAAGTGCTTTTGAAAATAAAAATACTACAGCAACTCACTCTGAGCCGTAGTAAATTTGAATTTGAACAGGACCTGCCAAGTTTGTACCGGCCTGCCAGATAACAGCGTGTACTGACCGGATCCTATAGTACAGTACGTCGCCCTAACCAGACTAACATACGACAGGGGTAAATTTTCTTGGCATAGTACCGTGAGAGGGCTAACTATGACAACTCCCATGGCGCGTTTAGACTTTTTACAGTAGCCGGCCTAATCCTAGGCCTATTTGACCGCCCTGGCTTAGTCCACCGTGAACTGTACTGTAAGGTAAGCAAAGAGAGCAATGCCCAATTGATTAACCCCTAAATCTGATTAAAATGTGAAATTTCCATTTTTCTGTTTAAATGTATAAATTCTGATGATATCTTATCATACTTGATCAGACAAACCTTTCAAGGCCAATGGTACCATTGTAAATCGGACAATGTCATCTTTGCATAGAAATTAGCTTACAGTCCCTTTAAGTGAAATGGGTCCGTGTACACTACACTACAGTTGTTCTATGAATGAATAAATGTTGTATTTGAAGAGAGGTTGCATGATTTATAACTTCCAGGATTCGGCTCTCTCGTTAAAGTCTCTCGTGTTTTTTATCCTAATATTTTCTTTCCTTAGTGCATTAAATATACTGCAGTATTTTAACCTACAGCAATAAAGGGACCGCTCCCTCTTTTACTTTAAAGGGACCAGTCAAAGCGTCAACATTTATTAACTTCTTAATTGGAGTTATTAGCTTGTAAGATTAAAGTACAGTGTTCATTCCCTGAATTGGGGCTTGTTACATTGTAACATTTTGAGCAATTGTTTCTTGTTAAAACTTCTTCACTGGAGTTACTAGCTTGTAAGGTTAAAGTAAAATGCTTATCCTCTAAATTGAGGCACAAGTCATTGCTACAGTTTGAGCTATTTTCATAAATCTTTATATTCTACTAAATTTTTTCTTGTATTTAGAATCTGTTTGTTTACTATTTGTCTACTGGATAACATAAATAAATCTAAGGCACATACAATGGTGTTTTATTTTTTATAGCAGCATTACTAATAGAAAGCTTAATATTAAACTCAAACCACCAGGGAGGGTTTATTACCCAGAACAACAGTGTTTGAATTCATGCTACATTGGACTATGTACAATCAAAACTTAAGTCTAACATCTATGTTGTGAAAATTGTTAACAAAACGTGATGGCTTTTGGATTTCTACAAATTCAAAATTAATTTTTTGGCTAATTATATTGTACCTCCAGAGTCCAATTTATATAAATTTTAATTAAAATAAGTTTAGTTTTTTTCATATTTGCGCATGAATTATTTTTAATCTTACTGTTGGATATCACCCCCAAGGTACTAATGCAAGGAAAGTTAAATGCGGTCGTGTATACTCTGCATACAAATTAAAACCAGTGTTCGTCTAGTATCCGAGGAGGTTAAAAGCATTTAATTTTGATAATTCACATAATAGTTTCCTATGACCAGAATATTTCATAGATTATTTTTGTGAAAATGGATTCCATATCAGGCTGTGTCGACATCCGTCTTGTGTTTACTTTTTCGCCCGAAGACAGTACACTGCAGTGCAAAAAAGCACAAACCTCTGAAATAACTTTCTTTGCATTAGTACCTTGATCACCCCAATCTAAAGTGACAATTTTTTGTATTAAACTAAGCTAATAAAATAGGCCAATAATAGGCACAGTACTGTTAAAAAGTCTGGCCGCGACATCAAAGTTGAAACAGATAGGATAGGTTCGGGCCGGTACTTGCCGCGCGGCACTAAGACCGGTACAATAGGTCGGTCACGAACCTCTGACCCTTTAGTTAAAGTAAATTTAACCTAAAGTCTGACCGCGTCAAACTTGTTGCACCAGCTAGTCCTATTGAATGTCTGCTTTATTTACCCAATGTCCGGGCGATACAGTACAAACTGGGAACGGAAAGGTTGACCCGGTTTAGAAATTCAAATGTACTACGGCAGTCGTCTTTATGTTACTCAATTTGATGGGTCCCATTGTATAGGTTTACCTTGAATTTCTTCCTTGGGGGATTCATTCAAGTCCGTTCCTTTCTCATCCATCATTGGTAACTAGATAGATAGATAGATAAATAGATAGAAAGATAGATAGATAGATAGATAGATAGATAGATAGATAGATAGATAGATAGATAGATAGATAGATAGATAGATAGATAGATAGATAGATAGAAAGATAGATAGATAATAGATAGATAATAGATAGATAGATAGATAGATAGATAGATAGATAGATAGATAGATAGATAGATAGATAGATAGATAGATAGATAGATAGATAGATAGATAGATAGATAGATAGATAGATAGATAGATAGATAGATGGATAGATATATAAATAGATAGATTATGTTCATATTTATATTATAATATAAATAGGCTTTTATTTTCAATTGCTTTGACAAAGCTGTTAACGGTACCGTTGTAAATATTTGCATGGAGGGTCACTAGAAATTAGCGTACAGTCCCATTACAAACTGTTTTCTTCTACATTTTAAAAAAGAAACAGACAAAATAACAGACAGACAAACAAACGTACAAAAAGCCTTTATATTAATGTAGGCATATGTTTATGAGTTATTAAATGTATAGAAAACAATATATCATTCAATAATTAATATCTTTTTTATCTTAGAGAGGGGGGAGGAAGGGAATGGGGGGGGGATGAAAACAAAGCTTAGTAAGAATAAAATAAAAATGAAGGTTTACATCTTAATCTAAGTTTGTTTTAAGGTATTTTGTTAAAGCTTGCAATCCTTTTATAGTCTAGTATTTTTATTTTAATGTTCTATTTAAAAATGCGTCTTTGTAAATACATAAATTGAGTCTTTGTCACAAACTTTGATTTTGAAGCACTTAAAAAACGTTTCCTTAAATAACGTTTCCTTAATGAACGTTTCCTTACTGAACGTGTCCTTACTAAATGTTTCCTTACTGAACGTTTCCTTACCGAAATTTTTCTTACCAAACGTTTCCTACATAAAACGTTTCCTTCCACAAAACGTTTCCTTACATCAAATTTCCTTACATAACGTTTCCTTACATAATTTTTCCTTACATAACGTTTCCCTACATAACGTTTCCTTACATAATGTTTCCTTACATAACGTTTCCTCACATAACGTTTCCTTACATAATGTTTCCTTACATATGTTTTTTGTTTAAATAACGTTTCCTTTTTTTGGATAACTTTTGTTAGGAAGCGTTTTGTAGAAGGAAACGTTTGTAGCAGGAAACGTTTAGTGGCAGGAACCGTTTGATGACAGGAATCGTTTGATGACAGGAAACGTTTAGTGGCAGGAAACATTCCAGTAAGGAAGTGTTCAGTAAAGAAACGTTATGTAAGGAAACGTTTTGTATTTATGCAATCCAATGAAATTGGTCGTAGACCTTAGATATTTTAGAACATGAATTCAGTTAGATCAAATAATCCAAGTTTTAAATATAAAAGGTTTACATCATCAGGCTAAGAAGATATAGGGGATTAGAAAATTTGGATTTGTGGCAAAGATGATGAATTGTGGAGATGTCAGTGATTACCTCAAAATAGAGAATTGTCATTGATACAAATCTATAAAATAAAACAAGACATTGGTATATATATGTTGCCTATAGCCGGCCAAACCGCTGAACCGAATGGGCTGAAACTTGTTGTGGACGCTCATGGGTGGCAGGGGGTTGTTATAGGCTAAAACAGTTCTCAATAATTTTTATAAATATTTTTTTCACGGGCAACGCCGGGCCCTTCGGCTAGTTCGTTAGAATTTTCGTTGTAAAACATATTTATCGAAATTTTCAAATCGATTTCTGTAAAAATGTAGTTAAATGCCGTTAACTGTTGTTTATTTATTCTAATCTGTAAATTTCTAGCAAGCCTGTTTCAAGCAACTATACCTGCTAAACATGGCAGCCGTGTTGAAAAGAAGAAACTAATTAGTTTTCTACACAAGATAAATTAGATTTGTCTAACGGAAGCCATGTCAACATCCTATACTCAGAAATAACTGGACTGTACGTCAACATCATATACTCAGAAATAAAGGGACTGTATGTCAAAATCATATACTTAGAAATAAAGGGACTGTACGTCAACATCACATACTCAGAAATAAGGGGACTGTATGTCAACATCACATACTCAGAAATAAAGGGACTGTACGTCAACATCATATACTCAGAAATAAAGGGACTGTATGTCAACATCATATACTCAGAAATAAAGGGACTGTACGTCAACATCATATACTCAGAAATAAAGGGACTGTACGTCAATACCATATACTCAGAAATAAAGGGACTGTATGTCAACATCATATACTCAGAAATAAAGGGACCGTACGTCAACATCACATACTCAGAAATAAAGGGACTGTATGTCAACATCACATACTCAGAAATAAAGAACTGTATGTCAACATCATATACTCAGAAATAAAGGGACTGTACGTCAACATCATATTCTCAGAAATAAAGGGACTGTATGCCAACATCATATACTCAGAAATAAAGGGACTGTTCGTCAACATCATATACTCAGAAATAAAGGGACTGTATTTCAACATCACATACTCAGAAATAAAGGGACTGTACGTCAACATCACATACTCAGAAATAAAGGGAGTGTACGTCAACATCATATACTCAGAAATAAAGGGACTGTACGTCAACACATATACTCAGAAATAAAAGGACTGTATGTCAACATCATATACTCAGAAATAAAGGGACTGTCCGCGTAATCTGAAGTGAAATAAAGGGACTGTAAGCGTAATATTAAATGTGACCCTCTATGTAAAAATGGCAATGCCCAATTTACAGTTTGATCATAAATGTGGAGGATATTGTTGTTTTTCTGACTCGAAAAGTGATTATTTCTGTGAGTTTCTCCATTGCTTCTTATAACCGAAAATGCGCAAGTGACTTTTGCAGAGAAACCGCAAACGAAAATAAACGAAAACATTGCTTTTTAATTCATACTTGGCAAATCTAATGAAATTTTGTATTTGCTATTTTATACTTGCGGGGCTATATATTTCAACTTTTGGATTTCTGAGGTCTCCCACGATATGTTGTACCACGCAAATATTCCCCTTTAGTAAAAGTAAATTCAACCTGTATGAGGCATAAAGTCTGACCGCGTCAACCTTGTTGCACCGGCTAGTCCTGTCCATAGAGTTAGGTACAGTACAAACTGGGACCGGAAAGGTTGACCCGGCTCGGAAATTCAAATGTACTACGGCTGCCCGTGCTACAGGTTTTAAATGAAAGATAACAATTGTGTATTATATATATTCACTTCAAACTTAAGTAAAATAAGTAAAATTCATAAGAAGTAACTGAGTAAAATCCACCTGAACTGCTAAACTTTTTCTTCGGGTTCTGTTAAATCGCAGGAGGTCGTCTCCTAAATCATAATTATAGTAATAAAAATGATGATAATAATCATAATAATAACAATGATAATAATAGCAATAATAAAAATAATTTAAAGAAATAATAATAATGATAAAAATAATCATGATTCGAGAAATGTATTTTTGCATTTAATAAAATGATTCTCTGAAAAGAGTGCAAAGTGAAGATATGAAGAAATACAAAAATTCTTTGAAAAAGTTGTCAAAGAAAATATAAAATAAGATACATTTAGGACAAGAAATATGTTTTCAAATATTATATTGGAGGGAGGGGGTGAAAGGGGGTTTAAATACACTTTTTAAACCCACCTAGCTCTGTGAAGAAGAACGTATATGAAAAAATCTTTAGCAATCTTTTTGCCAAAAAAAAAATTCTAATGTTGGAAAATGCCTAACTCCTCTTTATTCTTATTATAAGATTAAATACGTTGTTTCAATCTATCGATATCACAAACACCGTAAAAAGACAAAAGTCTGTGTTGAAACTGTCTATATTTAGATACAGGGTGTCCCACGAAACATGATAGTTGGTGAATAGTTTAGAATGTCTTCTTCCATAAGTTGTTAAGCTATTTATTACCAAAGAAAATAATAAAAATATTATATACGAGTCATATTATAGTAAAATATATTTGAGCAAAAGATTTTTGAAACGAAATAAACTGCAAACAGCCTATCATATCTAATACAGTGTATGGATGACGACATTCAAAACTATTTACAAATTGTCATGTTTCGGGTTACACCCTGTATAAATAGGTACAGGTAAATAAGTTGACCGCAAAAAAGTGTGGTTTACGGCGCCTGGTGCAAAATTGTACCTTTTTTTGAGCAACTCTCCTGTATGGTGTTTTTTCAATATTTTTTGAAAATTTGTAACTTTTTTGGTACTCCAATGGCCCAAAAGAAAATCCGCGACTTTTTTTTTCTTTCAAAATCAAAAATTCAGAAAAGCAAAAATGTGCATTAATATTATTTCTCTATAAATCTTAAGTTTTATTAAGATTGAATCAGAGACTCACAAAAAATTGGCAAAATTGTAATAAAAAATTTGCAATTTTCAGTTCTGGGCTAATTTTTATGGAAAAGTTATTTACATTCTCTAGTTCCTTTCTTCCTTGTATATTCTAAAGTATTGAATATACGCTGTTCAGTTGAAATCTTAAGAACCATTGAAAAACAATTTTTCCGTAAAAATTATACCATAACTGAAAATTGCGAATTTTCTAATTACAATTTTGCAAATTTTCTGAGATTCTGTGATTCAATCTTTTTAAAATTTTAGATTTCGATAGAAACAATTTATTTACACATTTTAGTTTTTCTGAACTTATGATTTTGAAAGAAGAAAAGGTTCGCAGATTTTTTTGGGCCATTGAAGTACCAAAAAAAACAAATTTTCAAAAAGTATTAAAAACACTATACAGAAGAGTTGCACAAAAAAAGTTACACCTTTGCACCAGGCGCCGCAAATCACACTTTTTTTACTCACCCTGTATATTTACGGGTTATAAAGATATAAATGAAATAGGGTTTTATATTACACTAATTGCTTATAAGTTAAAAAGATTTTCTAATCCCCATATCATTGCAACCCAATGTCGTATACCTTTGATATTTCAAACTTAGATTCTTTGATCTAACATAATACATAGTTTGAAATATCAAAGGTTTACAACATTAGGTTGCAAAGATTTAGGGAATAGCAAATTTGAGGTTGTGGCAAAGACTCAATTCCTTTAGATAAAAGAATTCATCAAAGATATTAAATCAAAATTGAGATTATAAAAGATTATCATTTTTAAAAGTTTAGAATTTACAAAAGAATTACAACAGAATAGAACTTTAAAAAGATTGGAATTTGTATATTTATACAGTTTATTAACCTTTCCTAAATGTCATATGAGTTGCCACAAAAAAATTGTGCCCGGTCGGTTAAGCCATGTTGACGTTTTTAGATACAAACAGAGAAACCAATTATATTTACAGAATATATGAAATTTTATAGAATATTAGATTTTATAAAATATTATTACCTTGTATAGTATCATGTATGTCTATTGCCTCAAGAACCGCACTAAATATATAAATATATCATCATCATCATCATCATCATCATCATCATCATCATATTATAATTAAAGGGGACTGTAAGCATAATTCAAATTATCTCTACAAAAGCGACTTTCTTCTGCACGTGCAAGAAAACAAATTCACGCACCCCCCTGACCATTTAGTAGAATCAAATTCAACCTAAAGTCTGACCGCGTCAACCTTGTTGCACCGGCTAGAGTCCTATTGAGTGTTTGCTTTATTTACCCGATGTCCGGGCGATACATTACAAACTGGGACCGGAAAGGTTGACCCGCTTCGGAAATTCAAATGTACTACGGCTGCCACATTTGAAGGGTACCGTTGTGAATCGGGCATTACCAACATTACGCGTAAATTAATCTTAATAATAAATGGATTATGAACGTGTTGGTACTTTTTATGTCTATCTTATTTTTATGCAAAATGAATTCTGCAAACCCAGTATTTTCTTATTTCTTTAGGAGCACGATTGAAATCTATAATAAAAAATCTTAAAGGGAATGTTTACGCATTTTTGATTAACCCACAATTCAATTCACATCAGTACCCTTTATCGGATCAAAAATGGGGAAGATATTATCGTTTTTCCAGGTTAAAAAGTGTTTAATTTAGAAAAATTCGACATGTTTTTCTGTAGTAAAGAAATGCGCAAGTCACTATTGTAAAAAACCACAATGTAAACCCAGTGTTTTCTTATTTCTTTTAAAAATTTGGGATCTTGGATAAAATGTATAAAATATCAAGATTTATAATTTACTAATTTGGAAACCCAGCGTTGCCCAGGTTTCTTATAGTAACTCCCGCCGTTTACCCGGACTTGGTCGTAAATTACGATTTTAGCTATTTTTTCGCTTTAAAAGTTGACCCACTCAACTTAGAATCTCAAAACTAACCCAAAGCCATTCCCGTGGTTCTCCCGAGTTCCCCAATCAAAATTTGAGGCAATCGGTCCAGGGGTTCCTGAGTTATGATCAGACAAACAAAGATCAAACGGACAGACATACAAACAGAGATTACAACTTTATCTTATCCTTTGATTTTGATTCCTGTGTGATATTCTTTCCAGGCTTGTGTCACGTGGATTTTGCTTCCGGTTTTCCTGATGAAGTTCCGTTTCCGATTTGTGCTTCCGATTTTCCTGGTGGAGTTCCGCTTCCGATTTGTGCTTAGACACTTTGTTTAGAGCTTCAAGATAGATCTTGTTTTTTATTTTGCTCCCCGCACTAGAAATCCTAAAGGAATTGAGTCTTTGCCACAAGCTCTGATTTTTCAAACCCTATATCTTTGCCACACAATGGCATGGACCTTAGATATTTTAATATGAGTTATGTTATATCAAATAATCTAAATTCGAAATGTCAAAGACACCATCAGGTAGCAAAGATAAAGAGATCAGCAAATTTGAGTTCGAGGCATAGACTTAATTTCTTTGTAATGATATCGTGGAATTATTTATTTTTAAAGTGGGACTATAGTGGAAATATTTAATCTTAAAGAGGGACTATCTTGGAAATATTTAATCATAAAGTGGGACAATAGTGGAAATATTTAATCTTAAGAGGGACTATAGTGGAAATATTTAATCTTAAAGAGGGACTATAGTAGAAATATTTAATCTTAAAGAGGGACTACAGTTGAAATATTTAATCTTAAAGAGGGACTATAGTGGAAATATTTAATCTTAAAGAGGGACTATCATGGAATTATTTATTCTTAAAGAGGGACTATCGTGGAATTATTTAATCTGAAAGAGGGACTATCCTGGAATTATTAAATCTTGAAGAGGGACTATCGTGGAATTATTTAATCTTAAAGAGGGACTATCGTGGAATTATTTAATCTTAAAGAGGGACTATCGTGGAATTATTGAATCTTAAAGAGGGACTATCGTGGAATTATTTAATCTTAAAGAGGGACTATCGTGGAATTATTTAATCTTAGAGAGGGACTATCGTGGACTTATTTATTCTTAAAGAGGGACTATCGTGGAATTATTTAATCTTAAAGAGGGACTATCGTGGAATTATTTATTCTTAAAGAGGGACTATCGTGGAATTATTTAATCATAAAGAGGGACTATCCTGAAATTATTTAATCTTAAAGTGGGACTATCGTGGAATTATTTAATCTGAAGGAGGGGCTATCGTGGAATTATTAAATCTTAAAAAGGGACTATCCTGGAATTATTTAATCTTAAAGAGGGACTATCTTGGAATTATTTAATCATAAAGAGGGACTATCGTGGGATTATTTAATCTTAAAGAGGGGCTATCGTGGAATTAGTAAATCTTAAAGAGGGACTATCGTGGAATTATTTAATCTTAAAGAGGGTCTATCTTGGAATTATTTAATCATATAGAGGGACTATCGTGGGATTATTTAATCTTAAAGAGGGACTATCGTGGAATTATTTAATCTTAAAGAGGGACTATCGTGGAAATATTTAATCTTAAATTGGGACTATAGTGGAAATATTTATTCTTAAAGAGGGACTATCGTGGAAAGATTTAATCTTAAAGATTAAGGTCCCTGATCTAGCCTCAAAAGGTCCATGATCTAGCCTCTAAAGATCCTATATCTAGCCTCTAAAGGTCCTTGATCTAGTCTCTAAAGGTCCCTGATCTAGCCTCAAAAGGTCCCTGATCTAGCCTCAAAAGGTCCCTGATCTAGCCTCTAAAGGTCCCTGGTCTAGCCTCAAAAGGTCCCTGATCTAGCCTCTAAAGGTCCCTGATCTAGCCTCTAAAGGTCCCTGATCTAGCCTCTAAAGGTCCCTGATCTAGCCTCTAAAGGTCCCTGATCTAGCCTCTAAATTTTCCTGATCTAGCTTTTAAAGGTCCCTTATCTAGCCTCTAAATTGCTTAATTCTGACAATTTCCCAAAAGAATTCTACAATTGGCATAATTTTGGAATAAATTAACAAAGTGAAAACATGGATATCATTAATACTTGATGGCAAAGCTTATAATTGTGCCATTGTGTATCGGATATGCCACTTTATGAACCTAAGGTGACTTGAAATTACGCTTACAGTCCCTTTAAATTTGCGTTTTCAATGGGAGATTTTCGACAGATTTAACTTTATTAAAAGTTTAATTCATCATTTGACTTTTTATCCCAAGGGAGGAGTATATTTAAAAACTTTTTCCAGTTAATTACAGAGATAATGTTAGGCCATAATTATACTGCATTGAACAAAGTTAAAATTCAGCTTTTGCTCGTATGCAAAGTTTAAAAGATAAGTAAAATTTCGAAAGAAATACAGTGATAACCAGAAAACAATGGAATATAAAGATAGAACATTACAGCAGTATACTGACGTGAACTTGGTTTTGCTACAAAGCAAATAGTTTTACTAGACATTTATTAAATCACTAATTTAATGAAATTGGTCTGTTTACAATGCACAATTGCTGTGTAATATGCTCATTGAACTATTTTAAGTTATAACTTGATTCCAAAAGTTGTCTTCATATTTCCGAGTTTTCTGTAATAATTTTAAACTACTTTACAGGGACGTTAAGGGAACCTGTGGTTTAGTTAACTTTTTAATTTCCACAAAAAAGTTTGTTTACACATATATTTTATCCTTTTGGGATGAAAATGAGCGAATTTTCCACAACAATTTTACCTAATTATCCCAAGGGACGTTAAGTAACCAGACATCCCTCCGTTGTGGGAATCATAGGGTGGTAATATTGGTGAAAAGACGGTAAATGTATCAGTTGATTGACTTACATTCATAATTAATCCTTTCAATTGTGAGCAATTTTTTATATTAAAGAATTGGGGCCGAAATATAAATTTTTTGTTTATCCCATGAATAGAATTAGCTATCAGTAAGATAATTTACTGGAATGCACCTGTAGGCTCACAAACAGTCATTTGATTTCAATTTCAAATTTTCTGTGTAGCATTTACTGTAGAGTGTAGATATATTACTATTTACTATAATATATTTGTTAACTGGGCGTGCGACTTTTATCGGTTTTACCAAACTTTTTTTTACAACTTTAGTTCCACCGAGGCCCAACCCGGTCGTGGGATAATTAGAGAATACAAGATTAAATATACCTGGGATTTCTATCCTTGCTATGACCCCCCTCCCGTCTTCGGGCCCCAGCGTTTATCTCAAAATTATCTCTATTGTGTTCCTCTTCTTCTTCACATAAAGTTTTTCTCGCACGTGGTGTGCGCTCATTTTTCACAATGCCGCCCTGTGTTTTTAACAAAAAGTCGTCTTTGTTCTCTATTGACGAATGAGAATTCTTTTTATATTTTTGCTTTGCCCTTGGCTCAGGTTGTCCAGAACTTTCTTCTAGACCCATTGTATTCTCTAAATGTTCAATACCTTGCATTGTACTACATTTTAGGCTCTCAAATGCATTTTTAGTGGTGACGGGAGCAATATTTGGTCTACCATTAAGATCGGAGACTGCAAGTAACATACTGCATCTGAAAATATATTTTTTTATGTTCAGTTAAGTGTGCCTTAAGCGATCAAATGTTAGAACAGTCTTTCACTGTACTGTAAATAGAGATGGGCGCTTCAGCTTTTCATAAAATTTGTTCGTTTATCTTTTTTTAAAAAAATTTCAAAAGAAAATAGTTTGTTTAGAAAAAAAACAAAGATAGTTTGTCCTAAAAATATCATTTCTTCAGGAAATGTAACGAAATTTTCTTCTAAGTTTGTTCAGAAACTGGTCTTTTCAAGTTCGTTTGAGTAATTGATTCTTTGTTTTTATTTAAAAAACGATCCTTTTCAATTTGTTTGTTCATCGTTAGTTAATTTTTCCATGAACGACAAAGGAAAAAATGTTGTTCGCTTTAAAAATGTTTTATTATCACCATCTCTAACTGTACAGTGTACATTGTTGATGACTTAAAAGCTTTCCACAGAAGAATCAATCGTGCAAATTTTAAATTAACTGCTAAAAAAAGTATTTTGCTGGATAATATCGAACTAACGAACAAATTTGAACCTTTGATTCAAATTTCTGAACAAAGAGAAACTGTGTATGTGTAGTTTATGTGTATTAATGCTATTTAAAAGTTTGGCAGAAATAAAAATTAAAATCGAAAGTCATTTTCATTGTATTGATATATTCGACGACAATTGTACAAAACGTTTGGAAAAGAATGTTGTAAGCTCAAAATTACAAATACAATGTTAAGTAATATAAAAACAGATTGCATTGATCGTTATTAAATCTTTTTTTTAATAGAAAAAGGATATATCTGTATGATTGATAAAGGTTCAGTTTTTCTCTAGAATATATTTTACTTTCCTGGCATCACATAGGATCTTTCTGCAGGGATATATATATATATAGGAACAAAATTTAATTAAATATCAATTGAAAAATTTTCCAGTTTTTTAAAATTGTAGCATTAGACTAAAATATATGTCCTTAAGACTACCTGTATCATTAGACTACAGTCCTTAAGACTACCTGTATCATTAGACTAAAACATATGTCCTTAAGACTACCTGTATCATTAGACTACAGTCCTTTAGACTACCTGTATAATTAGACTACAGTCCTTAAGACTACCTGTATCATTAGACTAAAATATATGTCCTTAAGACTACCTGTATCATTAGACTACAGTCCTTAAGACTACTTGTATCATTAGACTAAAATATATGTCCTTAATACTACCTGTATTATTAGACTAAAATATATGTCCTTAAGACTACTTGTATCATTAGACTAAAATATTTGTCCTTAAGACTACCTGTATCATTAGACTACAGTCCTTAAGACTACTTGTATCATTAGTCTAAAATATATTAGCTACAGACTACAGAGTTAATCTGAATATGAATGGTTGTGTTTATTGTTTATTTATCGGTAGAAGATTGATTCAGAGTAGGGTTTCCAAAGAACAAAACGTTTCGCGAAAAAATGCGAATGTTTTTATCGCGGACATTTTCGCTGGAAATTTTATATTTTTTGATTAATTTTCATAAAATTTTAGATTTTTTTTAAATTCCGTATTTTTTCGCGAAATTTTCGCATTTCTTATTTGGTGAAAAATCTGATGAAAATGAAATTAATCTAGATCAATAATGAAAGGATGAGATTGATCTCCATATTCACAACTCTAAACTTTTCAGCTGTGCGGGTGAGTTTGGGGGGGGGGAGGCGGGGGTTGAAGATAAATTGGAGAATAAATGATTTTCCAATAAAATATATTCCCCTTTCATTCTGACCCTAGTCTCTACTGTGCCAATTTAAAGTTTTGGCTGAAAACTTATTCTCATCTACAGATTAATTGGATTTGGTAAGAACAGAATTCTATTATTTACTAATTTTATATTTGTTAGTTCACAGCTGAACAAGTTGAAATACAGTGCAGTGTCTCACAGTCTGCTAAACAAAAGTTTAAACATCTAAATAAAGAGAGTTGTATTTTGCATATTTTTTCTTGCAGGGTTAAAATTTGGCATAGAAATTGAAGATATTTGCGTAAAACGATCCAAAAAACGATCCAAAAACGATCCAAAAACTATCCAAAAACGATCAAAAAACGATCAAAAACGATCTAAACATGATCCAAAAACGGTCCAAAAACTATCTAAAAACTATCCAAAACGATCCAAACACGATCCAAAAACGATCTAAACGAATGTGGTGTAACAATCGTTTTTCCATTTAATTTTTGGGATAAAGATGTTAAAACGTTTATTGTTTAATATCAGCAAACTTTTTGTTTAAATTTTCATTTTTTAAATTTCAAATTTTATTTTTTTATTTTTTTATCCTCTGTAGAAAACTTATAATTTAACTTTCAGATAATGGAATGTTGCAGATATTTAGTAAATGTTTACTATACAAAGATGAACGAAGTTTTAATTGATCATTTTATCAGAAGGGTTCTTTCTTTATATATAGGAATGTTTATTAATGGGACTGTAAGCATAATTTCAAGTGACCCTTTATGCAAAGTATGCAATTACTGATTCACAACGGTACCTTGACATACATCTATCTGATCAATTTCAATTTTGATTTATATCAAACTGTTGAACAGCATGAATGCACATAAATTTAAAAGTCAAGAGAAGTTGTCAATTAATAAAGCTTCTCTTTGATAACTTGTATACTTACAATTCGATAAAAGCTTGTAAACAATCAAACTTAAATAAAAAATCGTCTTCATTGTATTGATATGACTGCCACTGTATATATATTATATACATGAATTATATATACATATATTATATATGTATATTGGATAAAATTGCCTGTGAAAACCTGGTCTGTATATACATGAATTATATATACATATATTATATATGTATATTGGATGTTTTCTTGATTAGGACTAAAAGGATTCTGGAAAAAATCTTATTTATCTTTCCTATCCAAGTCTTAGATAATCTTACATCTATATTTATAAACATATAAAGTAATAACCTCTGTTGAAGTGTCTGTTCATTTGTCTGTTCGATTATCGATTGACACAAAGGAAGTCCTTGCCACCTAATCCCTTTATCATTGCAACCCTATGCCATAGACCTAAGATATTTTAAACTGTGAATTCTGTTAAATTAAATGAAATATCAAAGATTTACATCATTAGTTTGTAAGGATAGATGGATTAGAAAATTTGAATTTGTGGCAAAGAATCAATTTATATGGTAGCTCAGTTATCTTGTTTTGAACAATTTTAATAGATCTTAGCTTAACCTAGTGTATATATATACTAGGTTATCAGGGAGCTCATCTTCTATTTCAATTATTTGTGAACATTTTCTCTTTGTATACATATTAAAACAAAAGCATACAATAAAGTTTGCGGATTTTCTAAAAAATTTTGTTGATTTTCAAAATTTAATGGAAATCAAATTTGTTGGAGGCTAATTTTTGAAATTTTGATCATTTAAAAACCTTCCTTGGGTACATGTAAGGTCCTACACAAATTTGGGCCCGATCGGTTCAGACACTTGGACGTTTCTTGGATACAAACAAACAAACAAACAAACAAACAAGCCAAATTTATATATAGAAGATATAGATACTAGCTTGGGAACCAGCGTTGCCCAGGGTACTCGTAGTTACTTCCCCAGTTTTCCTGCGCTTAGTCTTAAATTACGATTTAGCTCTTTTTCATTATAAAAGTGAACCCCCTCAACTTAGAATCTCTAACCCAAGCTAAAAACATTTTCGTGGTTCTCCCGAGTTCCCCAATCGGTCATGGGGTGCATGAGTTATGATCGTTCATACAAACAAACAAACACCCCGTACAACCTAATATTTATATTAAAGATTTAAGCGCACGAGGTCGTCTTCAACCAAGTGTTGGACGATTTTAGATTTTAACGGGTAACACCAGACTCTATCTCGTTAAAATTAAACAAATTAATGTTAAGTTAATTGGAAAGTTTTTCAATTTCCCGATATGGTGTCCTAAAAAACTTTAGTTCAGATTGTCAGTGGTACAATTAATATAGCATCTCCGACATTGAATGAATTGAATGTCGTGAGCGGGGGAAGGCAGGCGGCCATGAGCCACCACTATTTCCCCTTCTGTGTCACATATTAGCTTTTTTCTCTTCCGGCAGTCATGAGCCACCACTATCTACCCTTTCGTACCACCACATTTGACTCTTCCGGGCAAAACTACTTTTTAAATGGTATGTTTAGGGCCTTTAAAGTGTGATTTTGAAAAAACCAACCGCGTCACTCAAAAAAGCACAACTCAAACCATTTTTTCAACTCTACTTAAGATAAATATTTTGTGTGTTGAATTCTTAAACTGTTTTACAATGAAATTTTTGACAAATTTGACTGAGTATTGCATCTTGAAATATCACAAAGTCTAATGATTCAATTACTGACTCATTATACTAAATCCATCTTAAAATCACCCATAAACCAATGACTTGTACGACTTTGTGACCTTGTAGCTCCTCTTATTCCAAACTAGCGTGGGATCCCAGCGCTGCCAAGGTTACTGAAAGTTACTCCCGCCGTTTACCCGCATTTCCCCGCTATTAAAGTCGACACACTCAAATCTCAAGATCAAGCTAAAACATTCCCGGGGGCCTCTCGAGTTCCCAATCAAAATTTAAAGCAAATCGGTCCAGGGGTTCCTAAGTTATGATCTGACAAACAAACAAACAGACATACACCCACCCAAACAGAGATTACAACTTTATATATGTAGATTACCAAAGTATATGAAAAGAGCAAATGTAAAAAATATTAAATTTTTATTTTCTAAAAGAGAAGTTATGATAAAAAACCGATATCAATCTTAAGAGAAATTAACTTTAAGGTGATGTGACATCTGTCATAAATGTAGATTGTACAGTGAAACCCTTAATAACAAATACATCGAAAGAATTCATCAAATGATGTATTCTTCACTTTCAGATAATGGAATGTTGCAGATATTTAGTTTTTAAATTAAATGATAATATGGAACTCTTTAAAACTGTTCCCGCATATTCATGGCTATTTATTTATTTTCGCAAATACTGAAATTTACGTAATATAGTATAAAACTCATTGAAAAATTGTCAAGACGACATTTGATAAATTCTTCCGATGTATTCGTTATTAAGGGTTTCACTGTAGATTGTACATATATTTGAATTCAGTGATATGCACGTACGTACATACATATATGTACATGTGTACATCATATATGTAAGGCAGCAGTCTCTGTTATTTTGGATGTTTCTATGTCATAATTCATAAGTCCCTGGCGAATTTGGACTCAAATTTAGATAGTGGTTCTCGGTAGAGCACTGGGAATGTTCTTAGCTTGGTTTTGAAATTTGACTTTTAAAGGGACAAATAGCGAAAATTGTAATTTACGACCAAGCGCGGGTAAACGGCGGAAATATGTATAATATGTTAGCTCATGGTTTGAAAGTTATGAGTAGAGTATGATGACTTTTTAAAGGGAAAACTTAGTTTCCAAGCAAAGTTGGGTTCCCAGGCTAGTATTTCATTAAAGCACAAGTTTTGTAGAATTATGTCTATAATTAGATGCAATAATATACTAATATTAGTATTAATTAACATTTATAATGCAATACCATGTGTAATGCAATATAAGAAGGATTATTATAAGCGTAAAATTAATGCATATTACAGAAATACTATCTAACTATCTATACAATTATATATTGTATCTATAAATATAAAGTAGAAACCTTTGTTTTTCTGTCTGTCTGTTTGTCTGTTTATCTTAACTCTTGAACCCCTAACCGATTTTTCTATTGGAGAGGTTGAGTTCCTTGCAAACGAGAAGGTCAAATTTAGGCTAAAATACTGATTTTTCGCAAAACTATGAAAAAGAAAAATTATCCGGTTATTCATTAGAAATTCAAAACAAATGAGTTCTACTCTTTTTCTTAAATAAGAGGTGTTATACTTAAAAACATATAATATTTCGATCTAGCGCGCAATTCACTTTATTTTTGATGTAAGTTGATTGCTTTCGTAAAGAAAGATTAGTTTCCAAGTAGAGCCATGGGTAGATTTTACTTGCGCGCAATTGCAAGACCTGTAATCCCGCGCAGTATATATCACCTACCCGCAATATATATCACCTACCCACAATATATATCACCTACCCGCAATATATATCACCTACCCGCAATTCCAAGCACTTCCGCGCTATAAAAAAAACTATTGTGCGCAATTCTGCACCATTGCGCGCAATTCCGCCCAACGGAATTCCGATAAGATTTCCTAGTTCCCAAGCTAGTATTAATACAAGAATCAAGATGCAATTTGGTTGAAAGGATAGGTTTCGACAATATTGCAAAATAAAATCAGAAAATGTCATTTTAAACCAATTTTACCAATATCTTCCAATAAGAAGAAAAGGAAATGTCCTATAAAATGCAACAAAAGTTTCAGATTCAATATCTTCCTACAATACCTTCTACAGTGGGACCCTTAAAAGACGATAGTAAATAGCTTGAAACCCAATTTATTTAGTGAATAATATTAAATAATATTAAATATAATTTATATTATTATTAAATATTATTTATTTAATAATATTATCTCTAACTCTTAATTTTCAACATTTTAAATACATCTAAAACCCTCTTTTATGTGATTTGCGACTGCTTCTTATAAAAAATAAGAAATTGTTTTAGAACGGCATTTAAAGTAATCGTATTTATTATCCACTTACAATTTAGTGAAAGGGACTGGTTTAATTTACCTTATAAATAAAGTTTGAAGAATCCAAGATTTACACTAGAAAGAATAGAAATTGAAAAAATGGTTCAATATCAATACAGATGATAAGAATGATAATAATAGCTTTGAAGTCTGAATAAACCCACTTGGTTTGGTTTGATAATTGACAGTTGGTAAAATACATTTTTGGTGTATTAATCACTGGCTGAAGTCACCGGCGTTGCCTAGGTTTATATTCATAGTCATACTCTCGCTGTTTACCCGCGCTTGGTATTAAATCAAGATTTTATGAAAGTAACAGGCGTTTCAAAATTTCAAAATTTTAATAATTTCCAATTTTTTAACTATGTCACCCCAGGGATACCCATGGGTTCCTTGAAAAAGTTTGGTCATGTATAGCTTAATTACTAGCTGAACGTTTACCCGCGAATGGTCGTAAATTACGATTTTAGCCTGTCTTTAAACATTAGAATTTCAACACCAAACTAAGAACATTTTCGAGTTTCCCAATCAAAATTTGAGATAAATAGACCAAGGGGTTGCTAAGTTATGATCGGACATACAAACAAACAGATTAAACATTGTTTTTTCCATGCTCTTTTATTATCTTACCCCCTTCAACAAAATTTATTTAAGTAAAAAATTATATAGAATACTAGCTGAAAAGTCAGGTGTTGCCCGTGAAAAAAATTAGAAATTTTTTTTTTTGCTTATAAATAACACTCTCGGCCACCCATGAGTGTTCACAAAAATTTTCAGACCAATCGGTTCAGCCGTTTGGCCGGCTATAGACAACATATATATACGAATGTCTTGTTTTATTTTATAGATTGGAAATACTAATTTAACTTACAAAGTATTAGACATATTTTATTCTGTTAAAAAATAAAATTAAATTAAATTAAATTAAATTAAATTAAATTAAATTAAATTAAATTAAATTAAATTAAATTAAATTAAATTAAATAAATTAAATTAAATAAAAATAAATAAAATAAAATAAAAATAAAAAATACATATTTTGAACTATAAACATATAAACAAAGTACCTAATAACTCACCACAATGTCTCATGTTTTAATTACTTTTATCCTTGCAACCTGATGTCGTTGACCTTGGATTTTTTTTAACTATAAAATGCTGTCAGATCAAACTGTCAAAGATTATAATATCAATATTTTTACCATCAGGTTGCAAACTATAGATAATAGAAATCTGGAGAAAATAATGAATTACTTTATTTCGACATTTTTGATTTAATCAGTCATGGTAATGATGTAT